AATGTCCAATGTCTCCTGTGGGTCATTTGTATTAAAGATCCCTTAACTGCCAGCATTTTCTCATCACTATTTTTTTTCTTACTTAGTTTACAAATTACAATTATATTTTAGGATATAATTATATTTTTGTTAATAATCTGGTCATCAGCAAATTGTGCTAAATTGAGTCTGTTTTATTGCTACAATTTTTTGTGATTTTCTTTAAGAAATTCAGCAATCAGACAAAAAACATCACTTACATTTGAGAAATGCTATAATTGTATATGACTCTGCCTAACATAATATTTCAAATGAGTCATCGAATTAAACGTACACCAACATATATAATAGTACATTTAGTATGTATCAAACAGTCAGTCAAATTATTTTTTTTTTGTATTTTATAAAAATATTAATTATTATTATTATACATCTGTCACTGTAACGCCATAAGTTACAACGTGCCGTAATTTTGCGGTATTTTACGGGGTATTTTCATACTACCATATTAGGATATGCGAATTCCAAATATGGAATTATTACGCGCGTAAGCATCCTCTAATAATAAAAACTAATATGGCAGCCACTAGGTTTGACTGGACTCCATACAAAGAAGTTCGCTGATTCTGTTCTAAACTTTTTGGATTTCGGCATTCCCATGATGTATCCTTGGTAGGAAAAGATGTATAATAATAAGGTTATTACGAAGATACCTCAAAGTATGCACTCAGACAGTACGCTGTCACATCGACCTCCGCTGCGCATCGGTCGATACTGCCGCTGTACTGTTTTCGTGCATACTTTGAGGTATCTTCATAATAACCTTATATTATACTGTATGTACTACATTTGCTTTATTAGTAATGCATGCACTTAGGTAAATTATACCGGTAGAAATGAATTCTACCGGGGGCAAAATAAAGATAAGTCATATTTTAATGATTTGATTTATGCACTTCTAATAAAGCAAATACAGTATTCTGATTTCACTTACTTAAATAATTAATTACCGGTAATAAATTTGCAACAAAAACTATGAACTGTTTAATTTTCAAGATCTGATGTTATTGATGGAGACGCAACATTTTTTGACAGTCATGATGACAAATCCAAATGAATAATTACTGCTACAAATTTTCACCAATTTCATAAAAATTTGTTTTATCTGAAGTTGTTTACAGTAACGTGAATGTTTTTAAATTGATTTGATTATGTTTCAGACAATGATGAAAAAAAGCTGTCATTTCATCGATGGGAAAGTGAAAAATGGTGTTAATCTATTTCAAGGTAATGATATGAGGGAATTTTATAGCAGTAATGCTACTAAACAATCTGGTGGTGTTTCCGTAAGAGAAGATGTAGATCACGGTGGGAATATCAGTGACAGTGATATCTGTCGTGGAAGGTTGACTGAAGAATGCATGTCAGAAATGTTTGCAAGCAAGTGTCAGCTTGGTTTAGATGTTGGTTCCTGTGGACGACTCAGGGGGAAATTCAGACGTAATTATGAAAGACTGCCTGAACACACAAATCAACAATCATTGAATGGAGAACGAAATATGGGACATTCTGTATGTAGTCAAAGAAGAGGGTATTGGCACGGCAGGAGAGATGATAGAAATGAGGTGGACAAATATGGAAATGATATTGACAAAAAACAACAAAATTCAGGAAGTGATTACCTCATAGATCAAGAGATTAGGATTGGGACTAAGTCTAGAATAGAGGATGACAAAGACAATAATCAGAATAAAGTAGAATCTGACGACATTCCTGGAAATGTGTACAAAGGAAATTTAAGAGGAAGAGGTCGATGGAGAGGCAGGTCAAGAGGGAGAGGATCAAACCCAAATGACTACAAACAATTTTAACACAAGTTTCAGTTTTCAGTAAATTGACATTCATTTGCATGATGCAATACTACAACTGCATAAAATTTTCAATGCATTCCAATGCAATGTACAGACTTAAATACAGGAAACTGTATTTGAATATCAAAATGCTGGTAAAGTTTTCGCATTTCAGCTGAGAGTTAAGTACTGTGTAATACAAATAAAACAGCTCAAACATAAGATAGTTTATCTGCCATTGGATATGTCTTTCTGTTTCTTAGGAATGGACATGCAGAAACTTTGGGGCTGGAAATCATGCAATGTTTTCTAGATTAGGTTGCTGTACATGTATATATTTTTTCTCTGTGACGAATACTTTTGGTTTAGACTTGGACATGAAGGATTTATCTTTGCTTTCAATTATTAAATTTTCTTCAAAGCAGACTCTTCCTTCTTCCACAAAAACATTTGCTTCTTTCTCAACTTTTAATAATCTATCACCAATGACACTATGTGGAATTTAAATGTTATGACATTGTTGACTAGCTAGCACCAATGTCTGAAAATGATTTGATTGCAACAAGAACACTGTAAATTACAGAAAATAAGCTGACTTCTCATTCCATCAGTGTGTACATGTTTTTAGTCCCCGGACGAAGTCCGAAAACGGGGACTTATAATTCAGTCTCCGTCCGTGCGTCCGTCATATCTCAGAATCCCTTGGGCCGATTCCGTTCATTCTTTGCATGTGCCTAGTACCTTATGTGGGACATATGCACATGCAGTGGTTTAGCGATTTGATTCAAAATGGCCGACTGGCA